AGAATATTAAAGAAATAATTATAAATAAACAGATGAAAACGAAAATAGAATAAAGATCATAATTAAAAATAACTATTCAATAGTATTAGAGGCTATTTTATCACAATATTTCTATAACGTGATGTTACCAGAAGGCTTTCTGAATTGGACATATAGTTTGAAAGAAATTTTGGAATATGAACAAGAAAAAGAGACAGGAAAAGAAAAAAATTTGACAGTTAAATCCAAAAGTTGAAAAATTACTGAATATGAGGAATCATTAATATATTCAAAGGATAAGGAACAAATTGAGGAAAGTATACAAATAAACAAAATTTGAGGGCAGTTAGATTAGAAGAAAAAAGTGAAAAATTTTAAAAAACATTTGATAAGGTAAAACCAATTGAGACTAGTTTTAAAAGAGTCAAGCCGAGATTTTTAAAGAGAAAAGAAAAGCAAGTAGAAAAGGAGGAAGAAGAGGAAGAGGAAAATGATGAATAATTTAGTTAATTGAATTTGTAATTTTTTAATAAATTTTGAGAAATTTGAATTTTTTGCCATAATAATTTTTTTGTCAAATTTTTTGCTGCAATAATTTTTTTATCGAATTTTTTGCTACAGTATCAATTTTTTGTTGAATTTTTTATTACAATATCAATTTTTTTGCTGAATTTTTTATTACAGTATCAATTTTTTTGTCAAATTTTTTGCTGCAGTATCAATTTTTTTGCCAAATTTTTTGTTACAGTATCAATTTTTTTATCAAATTTTTTACCACAATATGCAAAATTTTTTTTTGCCACAATATTGCCAGATTTTGTGTCAAATTTTTTTTTCACAAAATGCCAATATTTTTTTGCTGATTTTTTATTGATATTTTTAATGCCGAGTGACAGCAATTGTAAATAATTCATCAATCTTTTTATTATTAATTTTTGTCAAATTTGACAATAATTTGTAGCCAAATGACATAATTTTGACTAGTGTGAAAAAAGAAATTAAAAATTAGAAGAGTTAAATATAGAATAACTATTCAAGAAGTATAAAATCAGATAAAAGTAATGATAATTACTTTAGAAAGCAAGAATTAAAAAGGTTCAAGAATAAAAGTCAAAATCAATATTTTAGAAATTATTGTAAATTGGGTAATTGAGTTTTTCACAAAATCAAATGATTAGAATTTTAAGTTAGACAGAACTTTGAATAATATATAGTAATAATCTATAGAAAATAATTTTATTCATTAAATCTTATTTCAAATTAGTAAGAAAATATTATTTTCTAAATTACATCTGGAAAATAATTAAGACGTTTTATTAATATCTCAATAAAAACACACCGTGACGGCATTGATTGCAAATTAAAAAATTATAATAATAATAAAATAAAAATTATTTATTTATAAAAATAACATAACCAGATAGTATTAGTATAAGACTTTACTTTTAAATCAGGTGAAGAAAAACTCGAGCTCTAAAAACACTAAAAAAAAAAAAAAAATTAGAATTCTTAGAAAGATAACATATCACTTAAATTTTACTTTATAAATAACAAATAGTATAGTCTATTATCTGCATGTACCCATAAATCGAATAATGTAACAATTCTATACAACAGCACCAATAACAATACGGCTTATTTCTTCACTAGGTGATCGAACTGAAAGTTCCATTGTAACACCCGTACTGGGAGCATAAGTCATGCGATTCTTAGCTAAGATTTTATGTCCACCCAAGAAAGTGCCAGAAAGCAATAAAGTATGCACACTCGAGGACTGAGGTGTTCCTGTATTTTCGACGGCGCACATTCCGAGAAGTTCGATCAATGTTGCACATGATGCTAAAACAAAATATAAATATACACATCAAAGATATAATCTCGATATATGAAATCAATATTGAACCTACCTTTTAAACTTTTTGCAGCAGTTAAAGCAAATGTTTCTACGACCTGTCCTTCTTCACCAAATTGATCCCAGGTACTTTGGAAATCACTCAGGTATGTGGGAAGGACATAATCACTAGTAACTATATCAATATCTTCGACCTGAAAAGCAACGACAGGTCTCAGGACTTTCACTTTCAAAATTAATTTTTTAAAAATCAAAAACAAATACAATTTGCATACTGAATATTCATCTTCATATCCTTCTTCACCAGCTTCACCAGTTGATGGGTCACAATCTTTCACTACAAACTTCATGGTATTTGAGAAATTACAGAATGCATATTCTTCTGGATTTGTTTTTCTGAAAGCGACGTATACGGATCCAGGTTGATCATATGGTAGTTTTTGTGCTGGAATTACAAACTCTTCAATTAAATCATTTTCATCTGATTCTGGTTGCATTACCACCGACACATTCTCCAATAATTGATCATTCAACGTATTGTTAATGTTGAACTGTAGGAGCAAGGGGAGAAAAGAGTTAACACCAGAATTATTTAATAATAAACATCAGGAATATAAAAAATTGCAAATACCTGAAACACTATATGCTCATTGAACATATGTTTAATACAACTAACGACATATTCGGTTTCGCTCTCCGTGAGATCAACTGGTTTTGTACTACTTTTAAACAACGTGCCAAACGCAGCAATCTCGGGAAATTTCTCCAATTGTTGTGCGTATATTTTTTGTTGATCTATTCCAGGGGTAGGAGTCACAGCCGTACTTGTGGTGGCGACGATGGAAGCGTTGACGCTGATTACAGCCGGCGATGGAATACCAATGGTCTGAGTAGCCACAATTTCATAACTTCGGGATCGCAAATCCTCTGCTTCTGCTTGTGCTTTAGTGATCTTTGGAACAGCAGATAAATCAAAAGGTTTATCAGAAGCTTCTGGGTCGCTCACATATTGAACAAGTTGTTTTTCAAGGACAGCAAGAGAATAGGTAGAATCTGGCAATAGTAAGAATGAAGTTAATACTAGTTCTATGAAGGTCTTCACCAAATACTGACCATCTTTGACATATTTTTCAGCATTTTCTTCATCGTCCAAGAGCTTGAGATACAAAGTGGCCCTATCACGAACTTCGTCATCATTGTCATCCAAGCATCTGCAAACAAATTTAACAAAAATTTTAATATCGTGGAAGTCAATAAAAGTATTGAATAGTGAGGCACCAAGTGACCTTGTGAGTAAGACTTTAATGCTTTTTTTTACTTCAGGATCATCCACACTAACTCCAAATTTTGCAAGCGCACTAACAGCTGCTGCCCTCACAATAGAATTTTCCAATATAACGCGATTGTAAATGTATCGGATATATTTTGTAGGTGTAGCGGTCTTCGGGCCCTCAATCCCAAGAAGATGCAAAACACGTACGGAAAGTTTGGTGAATTCACAATCTTCAATAAATTCACATAAATGCGCCAAAGCTAACGTATTACAAAAAAATTTAAAATGTTAGTTTCCCCTGTTTTATAACCTTGATGATTTAAACTCGATGTAACTAACCAGCTTCTTTTGACTCAGGAATGAATTTGACTAAATCAAAGATTGCATTGACCACTGCTCTTTTGAATTCATATCCACCTTCATCTCTTAATACGCCACTTAAAAAGCTGAGCATCACAACTTGTTTAGTAGGAAACTTGAGGCACAACGATCTTATCGCGTCTACAACGATAACTTTGAATTCATCGGAAATCTCTGACATGAATCCTGTAATTTGCTTCATTAAACGGTCGACGCTAGCCTCATTTCCCGTCTAAATTTTTTAAAGCACAATGATAAATGTTCTATCACCAATAATACTTTAAAGAAAAAAGCATTATAATTTACTTTTAATAGTGTAGTTATAGCAAAGGTGGCTACACTCCTATTTTGATCGGTGATTAGATTTTCCATATCTAAATTGCAGGGTTGAACTGCAGTTGGATGGTTCATGGCCAATTTATTGAGTGTGCGAATAGCTGCAAAACGAAGCGTAAATTTCGGCGATGAAAGGAACAGTTGAAGCACTAATATTTCATAACCCAAAATTGAATATTAGATTCAGAAGATTCGCAATTATAATAAATAAATAAGCTAATTTACCATTGACAGCCGGATACAGTTCTTTAGCCGTCACGTCCTTAATATTACATATTGCTTTTGCCGCTTCAAAATTGACGACATCATTTTTGTGCCTCAACCAACCCTCCAGAAGATCGTACATTTGTTGTCTTGAACTACAAATGAAAGTAAATACTTGGTGGCAAAATAAATTCGCAGGCATTTTTTGATAATAATATTTACTTATATATACATTAACTCACTTGGGATCCTCGTCTAAAATCTTTGCTGCATATCGGATCAACAGACAGTACGCAAAAGAGTTGCGTAAAACACTACTAGTGGTACTAAAAGAACTTCTACTGCCTCCAGACAGTTGTTGAATCAACTTTGTCACAGCCATGCGGTCATGTTGGCGAATCAAATATAAGAGCCCCAATGCATGATATTGACTAATGTTACTTGCAGATGGGGAGGAACCATATGAAGATCCACCCGATGAAAAAGACGTTAAGTATGAGGAAGCTGTACCGACTAGCGACGATGGCTTTGAATTAATGGCTTCATTAACTTCGTTGGCCCATCTCTTGATTACGTCCTTTCCAGCAGGAAAAAGATGATAGCTAGATACCAAAGCAGCAGAAGAGATTGACGGAGTTTTATCTACAATAGCAGCTTTTAGAAAGCGCTCAACGCTTGGAAGCATTGATGCCTAATAATAAGAGAGACAAGCTTGAATCCAATAAATAGCACATTTTAAAAAGTTGAATTGTAAATGTAATAGTTACATCGGTAATTTTACATAAGGCTCTTATTGCGTTTGCCCGATAAATTACTTCGGACTTTGGTTGCATATCTTTCATCAAGCTGCTAGTAACCATGATGACATCTTCAGCAATGGTTGAAAGTTCTTTAATTACTAAGTATACCATCTGCCGCAAAGCAATCTATGAAATAATTTGAACAATAAAATAAACTAGATAAATATTCATATAATATCCAAACAGTCAAATAAATTCATGCATGAATAAGAGTTTTTTTTTGAAAACCAAGATACTGGGAATTTAGAAGACAAATATATGCTTACATCTTTAGATTGAAAAAGCTTGGTTACGCTAAAGAACAACTCGGTTGCTTCTGTGGTTGCCATTGGCTCGCCAAGATATAATAGATAAATGATTTTAGTAAGAAGGAGGCGGCATTTTCTTGGAACTATAGGTGTATCATTAAAAACGCGAGCTTCCTGAAGAACAGTGGTCTTATCGAGATGATAAAATACACCCAAATCACCTGCCATACAATTGAGAAAGCAAATTCAACATCAAAAATTATGTTGGTGCATTTTTCCATCGGTAATATTCTATTATTTGGGTTTTCCGCTTGTTTATTTTGAACCGTGGTCCATAATTTAAGCGATAATTCTTATTTCACCCACCCGAATCCTCGTCCTTTTTTGACAAAGTCATGTCTACTCTAGTGAATGATAAAAACCCGACAGATAATTTGGGATCGGCGAATCAAAAAAATTTTTGTCACATTTATTATATATATATATATACTTTTTTTTTTAACCCACAATCACGTCATCATGGCTTGTTTTATTGAGACTATTGAAAAAGCATCGTATAGATCAGCTACTCGTTATGTGCATTATTAATCAAAGGATTACATTACTTAAAAAATATGAATTAAACAAAACAAAATCTGAACTAGGTACTCCAAGTTAGATTTCTATTTTATCAAGATTATTATCAACAATTTGCCACTATAGATTATTTTAAAAAATAATAAATTATTGAATTAATAAAGTAAAGAAAAAAAAAAAAAGAATTAAAAGCAAACAATTTTCTCTTAAAAAGAATTTATCTATTTAATATTTTTTTAACTTTGAATTATTTATTTATCGATTATTAAAACTATATACTATCTAAGAAACTTATTACCTTGAGTTCTTAGGATAGAAGATCTAATCTTATAAATGTCTTTTATCTATGAGAATTGAACTTATGATTTAATTAAAATAGATATATCAATGATATTTCAACTTTATTTAATCAAAAATAAAATTTAAAAATCTTAACTTTCTTTTTAAAAAAGTTTTTTTACTATCTAAAAAACTTAGTAAGAAATAAAAATTGATATGTTATATATCTTTTACTTATTTTTAAACTTTATTTATTTATTTATTTATTTTTTTGTATATCTATAATCAGGCTAGATTGTCAGTTTATTAATCAATTGAAAACATAAGTACATTTTCATTCAAGCAACATGATACATACTACAGCTAAACTATTATTCTAATCTAACTAACTTGTCATAAGCATAAAAGTCTTTAAGTTTGACCTTAGGAACAATATTTCACTCTGCAGTATCTTTGGGTGAAAACCCTTCTAGTTCACTGCATCATTACCAGCAAGTTGTCACTACTATATGTTTGACCAAGCCACTAGAATACAGAAAACTACAAAAGGATAGGTTGAAAAAGGGAAAGGGAGATATCTAAAAATGTTTAAGTAGACAACAAAAAAATGAAAGAGTAAAAATTAAAAAATATTTTTAGCTTCCTCCAAAGATCTGCTTCTCCAGACCTCTTCTCAATAAGAAATATCTAATTAGAATATCCTTTCTTTTTCTGACCATTTGAGAAACTTATTCATTCTTGATCTTGATTTTCTTCTTATGTACCATCTGAAGAGACTTATCATCTAGTGAAAACCTTTACTTCCAGGATATACTTGATCCCAATCTTCTTTGAGCAGTGATTTTTTATTCACCTATAATAGAGAGATGATTTATAATGGATCCCAAGTTCTTATATGACCTAGTAAGAACTAGGTAATATTATTTCAGTGTAATACCTTCTAGTAATCATACTCAATTAAAGGAATTTTACTAGTATATATTTTCCATTACCCAAAAGACCAGATTCACCAATAATCTTTTTGCCTTGTAATAGTAGAAGGGTCTCAGCAATAGTGGAAATCTTTATCGATTGTGATATCCTTCAACAACTTCTGGAAAAATACATTCTCAACTGTAACTAAAGGATTGGAGCTTAACATGAACTAGGGACCATTTGGTCTTATTATCAAATTATGATATAAAGGAAACCTTGGTCTTGAACTTTGCCTGATTGAAATAATTGAAGAGAAAGAGTTCAGCTTAAATGAATAACAGCTTTTTCACTATTTGAGATCTTGCTATTTGTATCTTATTGATCTTATGATACTTGATCTGTAGATTAACCCAATTAAAGGAGTGAGTGGACATACTATATAACACCAATTAACTTTTTCTATTACATAAGATGATCAATAGGAGCTTGTTTATATTCAGTTACTAACATGTTTCATATCAACCAATTGAGTGTCAGGTGATATTGTGCTATCAAAAATTCAGGATCAAACTGAGATAGGCAAAATCCTCTATGAAAACTATGAAAAACAGTAAACATTTTAAGAAGATAAAAGACAATATGTGAGAAGATGGATAATAAGCCTTCCCTTGCCAACAAAACCTTTATTTCTTGTGACTTCTAGCTCTATAAGGTAACACTTCACTTGTCAATTCTTTTACTTTCTAGAATCTTTTTGCCCTTAGTAAAGAAAGTACATACTTGAGTCTTTTCAGGTCACTAGAGGCTCAAGTTTTTATTCAAAAAAGTTTATAAACAAGTAAAAAAAAATAAGAAAGATACATGAAGACAAGCTTCAAGTTGTTTTAATGAAAGTGTAAAGACTTTATTAGCAAAGAAGTATAAAACTTTTT